CGCCCACTCCCCGCCTCCCTCCCCTTCTCCTGGGAGAGCTCCCGGACGGGACGTGACCGCGGAGCTCCCACCGCCCTTCCGTGGTCCCAGCAGCGCCTGAGGGGAACGGGGGGGGCGGTGCCGCGCGGAGGGGCCGCGCCGCGGCTGAGCGGGCAGAGCTTGTGGGACCGCTGCCGGATTGAAAAGGCGGGCCGTGATTGGACGGCGCCGAGAAAGGCGGGCCGGTATTGGCGGGCCGGACGCTGCCTCGGGCCGGGATTGGCGGGGCTTGGAGCCCGCGGGGCTTGCTTTCAGAAAGACTAACAGTACTTTTTTCCCCATATTTGGATTCTGAAACCAAAGGATGCAAAATCAATGAACATACTTCATTAAAACAGCAACAATTCAAACTTCACAGATTTGCTGGCACAGATAGCTTTTACTTTTTCACGGAACAGCACAAAAATTCATCTCTGAATAGTTCCTTTTTACTGCTGCTTTTTATGCTGATACTGGACACCCTAAGCTACCTTGGCTATGGCAACTGGACACTCCTTCAAATCAAAGGAGCAGACTCATGAATCAGGACCTTCAGGAAGTGGTCACTGGGTTGCGGACCAAAAGTTATCCCCTTACCTCTCCTATTCATCTACAGCTTCAGAAAGCTGGATAAAAAACTCACCCAGTCCTGTGCCAAGCACTGCAGAAACACCAACCACCTGGAAAAGAAAACACATCAGAACTAGAGAGTAACTGAGCCAGATTTTTAATACGGAAAAAAAACAAAATAAAAACAAACAAACAAACAATCCCACACAACAACAACAAAAAATCAACACCACCAAAAAACCCAACAACAACAAATAACTACTAATGTAAACCTAACAATAGCCATTTAATCAGCACAGTGGCCCAAGAGTGGGCAGTAACACTTCTGCTTCTGTCCATCCCGCTTTCAAACTCTTCCTCCACTTGCTGTTCATGTTTGTTACTTCTGCTTTTTGGTTGTTGGTGATTTTCTGTTTGGTGAGTTGTTGGGGTATTTTGGGGGGTTTTTCTTTGGGGAAGGAGGTTTGTTTGGTATTTTTTAACACCATAGGGCAATTCAAAAGAAAGGTCAAGTCTTTCTGCTGTTTACTTGTTTATTGTTAATAACCCAAGTTCTCATTCTGCATCTAGGGTTATAAGTGGTTAGCAAGTATCAGTGTACTAAAGTGCAAAATAGACAACAAGAGCTGACCTTTTGGCTCTGAAATAGTCTAATACTTTTTATTTAGCCAAAGCACATTTAAAAGGTCCCCAGAACAGCAAGAGAGGGAGAATTTAATCAGTTGCTATGACAATAACATTCAAAATGCACATCTACTTTCTAATTTCAACTTGTCTCTCATTACACTTCTGGCCATTTGTTCTGCTTGTATTAAATCAATTATCTAAAAATACCTTGAATTAAGACTATTACCAGCCAGAATCCTACATCCTCTAATGAAAATTCTCCCTCTTTTTCATAGGCAAGACAGTCTCAACTACTGACTTCCAAATGGAAGACCTTTCCCAACACAGCCTTGCATTTGATCATTAACACAGTAAATATGCAGACAGCTCTCCAAAGGATTTTAAGCATTAGGGCTAGGCACTGTGCCAATATATATAAATATTTATACTTTCCCTGCACTTAAATACAAGCTGCCTTTTACTCCGTAATCCTCTTCATATGACCTGCTCTCCATCCAGTGCTCTAACAGTTCTGACAGGCAGATAAATATGACCTGATCAGCAAATAAGGAACAGGAAGTATGTTAGTTCTGTATATGGGACCACTACAATCCCTTTTGAAATTCTGTATATTGTTCCACATAGGACACTTAACAATATTTTTGTTTTGGCTCTGTTATCATTATCTACATGAATGGAATAATTTTGTTCCTGTAATATCCACACAGCCAAGAAGGCTTGCTTTTTCTTTATTAAAAGCTGATGACAAACACAATCAGCTAAAACCTTTAGCACAGACTATGGGATCATTAACAGCCTCCAATGTCTAGTGTTGTCAGAGAAACAATTAATTTGTCCTCTCAAAACCTGGCTGAGTGGAAGAACAATCTTCTTCTTGCACAAGCAAATATAACGGGGTTTTTTTGTTCATTTATTTGTTCTTTAGATTCTTTCCCTTCTTCCTATGTAGTACATTGCCCAACTGTACTTGACACTTTCAGAACAAGGAAAATTACCTCAGGTGGGAAATGCTGCAGCAAAGAACACTGCCTCTTACCAGCCTATGTTAGCTTTCATCTTGTGATTAATCACAGTTCAATATTAAATTATTCAGGCTGCCATTCAGTGTGACAAGCTGCTAAAGTTATTGTATGTTCAAATCAGCAAATCCTCAACACAGGTCATCAACAGATTCCAGTTCAAAAGGGCAGTGCAAAGCCCCTTTACAGAAGGGCAGAATGGTGGGGGGTGGACAATACCCCTGGAGATCATCTAGTCCAATCTCTCCTGCTCAAAAAGCAGGATTTGGTAGAATAGGTTGCTCACGACTTTGCCTGAGCAAAAGTGTTTTAAGCATCTCCAAGGATGGAGGCTCCACAATTTCTCTGGACCATCTGTTGCAGTGCAGAATTAGTAAAATTAAAGCATTTTTTCTTCTCTTCCGTTTAAACATAGTTTCCTGTATTTCACCTTGTGTCTGTTGTCTCTTTCCCCACACACCAGTGAACAGAGTCTGCCGCTCGCCTTCCTTACACCCTCCTACCAGGCATTTATACACATCAAAAATATTCTCCTTGAACTTTCTCTTCTCCAGGCTTTTAGGAGAGGTAATAAAAATTTACCTTCAATGAACTGTAAAATTCATCCAACACTAAACTCATAGAACAAGTCAGGTTACTGACATAGGAGGTCTCTTGATTCAGGACATCCTGAAAAGTCTCAAAGTCCTGCATCCATTCCACTGCAAAACTGTGGTCAATTATGTCAGTCTGGAAGGAGAAGGGAAAATATTCAGAAGTAACAATCTTACCCTTAGGCTGTTAAGTGGACAATTGAAAAAAAATCCATGTTAAATTTATTTTTAAAATGTTGATCTTTTAAAAATATTTAGCCCTGGTCTGAAGTTTTGCAAGTTCACTTTTTATCAAATCAACTATGTGAATACAGGAAGAGAAGACAAACAACCACTTTTCCAGGTTTAGGAAGGCAACAGTTGTTTAAGGAAACAATTGCAACTCTAAAGCCTCCTATGGTTTTACTGGAAAGGGGCATCCAGAAACTGCATACTGCACAATGAAGTTTAAGGTGTAAATAGTAGATCATACGATTGAGGCCAGACAAGAACAACCCTCATTGAAGATCCCCAGCTTTCCTGATTGCCTGGGGGCCGGAGGAGCGAGGGCCACTTCCATGCTGGGTAACCCCATGGGATCTTTATGAAAGTGAGCTATGCTCTGGCCCAAAGAAGTTATGAACTAAACTCAGTGCAAGACAACTGACACAAACAGGTGAGATGGTTCCACAATTTTACATGGATTCATATGAAAACAGTGTATTACAGAGTTTCATAAACATCTTGCCACATGCATATCCACTCTTCGCACAATATGAGGTGCCTAAAACTCTGACATATTTCATTCCCCTCACCAATGGGAAGGAGGAAAATAGATAAAGTATTACCTAGGATTACTCAAGAGATTTGAGATAGAACTGAATCCACCAAGGGTCAAAGCCTGACTACTTAAAGTTACCTTGAATAAATTCTGTAAATAAAATTAAATCACCTCCACAAATTACTTTTTTCCCCTCTCCAAATCTTAAAATTCTTTACATCTATGGGTTTGTCACTGCACATATATCCCAGTTCCCCGGGGTTCCTCCATTCTTATCAAGAGTCAATTTTAAAAAATTAAATTTAATTAAATTTTGTTAAAAATTCTTCCAATGCTATTGGCTTTACTTTTTAGCAAAAGCTAAACATGAGATCAAAATGAAGTTTAAAGTTATGAATCCTAAGCCTCAGGCCTACCTTTCCTTACACACACAGTGCCACTTCTTTTAGTCTTTCAAAAAGCATATTTTGTTCAGAGAGACTTATTTTCCTACCTCATGCCTTTTTCTACAGAAATCAAAAGCTAGAAAGCTTATTCTAATATTACTGTCTAGAGTCAGAAAGAAAACAGTGTACAAAAAGTTGCTCAGTAAGCAAGCAGATACCAAAGATACGCATGGTTTGGGTCACAGGGCAGATGGGTGGAGTTGGAGCACAGCAGACACTAATCCTACTGGGCTGGTGGGAGGGAAAATATCCCAGTCAAAGCATGGTATATGTGTGTGCACACAAAGCTTGCTGAGTTAGGGATACAAACAACAAAGGATGCCTGTGGAGAAGAGTTACTCACATCAAAAATCTAATGGGATTCTTTTACTATCTGAAATTATCATGTTTAATGATATGGCTGTTAAGCTCAAAAGCATTAAGGCTACAAGTTCCTTACACAACAGTGGATGTGTATTCTTAGACTAGTAAGTATCTGCTCTCTAGCAAATACTGCACCAAACATCTTTTCTAGGTTTTGCCTGCTACAACAGGTGAGACTCCTCAGTCCAAACAGGCAGGGGTTACACCACTGCCACTGTGAGTCATTAGCCTGCTGCTGAGTGGAAATCATTATTAATGAAGACAAATATTCTGGGAAAACTGGGCATGTAAGCGCAGATTCTGGCATGACCTTACCCTTTCTTTATAGAGTTACGTTTCCCTTTCATCCAGGCTTAAGCTGCAAAACATGTTTCAAATTGTTAGCACCGTCTCTGCTTTGAACATTTGGGTGCAACTGCCCATCCCTGATTATTCTTGTGCACTTGGATACCAGATTAAAGATCCTTTTTACATTCGGTTATCAGCCTGCAGCTCCCTCCCAGCCTCTCTTTTCTAGAAAATTCTATTATTGTGGTAAGACAAAGACACCACAGCAAAGAAGCTAAACAGAACAATGTCCCATGAGGACATAGAAACCAGAGCTTTAACTGACTTTCGTCATGACTACAACGAAAGGTAGCTTTGTCTTGCACAGGATACTGGGGGAGAGACACAAAATAAAAGTTTAATTTAAAACTTCCTAGAATAGAAAGCAATTCAAACATAAGGCAGACAAGACTTGTGCAAAACTGAATACATTTGACTTCAAAGGATAATTATTTTCCTCTGCACCTAATAGAATGTAATTTTCACCCAGGTCCTGCTTACAATCGTCGAACAAAATATGCTCCTCCAAGATGTAAGATATAAAATCTCCTACACACCCAGTCAAGTTTGGTTACCATTTGCTATGACGCTAAGATCCCGGTTTTTAACTCTCCGTGCATTTTGCATTTGACACAAACCTTAGGTTCTGAGAGATTATTTGCGAACTGAGCAATGAATTCAAATAACACAGAACATCTATAAAGCAAAATTACTTTGACACATGAGCTGACATATTCATTTCACTGTATATATTCTACGATCTTTTTCTCAAACTAATGTCAGAAAATGCAATATGTAGTAAGACACAGTTTGCACACTCCTATCGTGGTGATATAGCTCTTGACCTTGGTACAAGGATTGAGAGGTTTTTTGAAAACCTTTTACCAACATTTACCGTGAATTATGACAGCTCTAGCTATGTTGATGGTTCCATAGGTATTTAGTCTCTGGGATGACATGAAAGACAACAGATAAATTCATGTACAAAGAAGAAGACAATAAATCAAGAGTTCTGTGCTATGCTGAACTCCAAACAAATCCTGAAGAATCTCTTAAAAGTATCAACAACATTAAAAAATAGAATAAAATACTCTGTATTTACAAAAAGGAGCTTAAACTAGCCTACCTAGATTCATCTTAGCTAACTGGGTTTATAAGCAATAGGCAATATGTTAGATCTAATATGACCAGCCTTCCTCACGCTAAGGTCTCATGGATTATTTAATGCTAAGTTTTGACCCAATGACTTCCAGATGTCCACTGGCACCTAAATTTTTCTGCTTATCCAATGGGAAAACCACTAAGAGAATAACCAAACCAGCAGACTAAGTGGATAGGAGGCATCCAAGTGCACTCACAAGCACAAATCCAACCATCCCCTGGGCTGCATCCAAACCAGCGTGGGCAGCAGGGCGAGGAGAATTCTCGCCTTTGTACTCCACTCTCATCCCACCCGGAGCACTGCGTCCACCTCTGGGAACCACGGCAGATATGGACCTGGCAGAGTGGGCCCAGAGGAGGTCACCAAAACCATCAGAGAACTAGAAGGCCTCTCCTATGGAGACAGGCCAGGAAGCTGGGGTTGTTCAGCCTGGAGAAGACTTCAGGGAAGTTTTACTGCAGCTTTCCAGTAAATAAAGGGATTTATAAGAAAAATGGAGAGAGACTTTTTACCAAGACTTGTAGTGATAGGACAAGGGATAATGGTTTTCAACTGAAAAGGACATACTGACAAAATTTTTCATGATGGCAGTGGAGAGATATTAGAGCACACTGCACAGGGAAGCTGAGGCTGCCCCATCCCTGGAAGTGTTCCAGGCCAGGCTGGATGGGACTTGGAGCAACCGGGGATAGTGGAAGGTGTCCCTGCCCACGGAAGACAGGGTGGCCTTTAAAGTTCCCCTTCAAACCAAATCACTCTATGATTCCCCTCCAAAAGAACTACCAAAGAGACAAGCAATCAAAGCAGAGGGACTGCACTTCCAGCTTTTCTTACCTGCAGGCATACAGCACGTTGGACATAAAAGCCATAGGGTTAGTCCTGCCAGAGGTGTCCGGCACACACACAGCAACTGAAGGAAAAGAGGAAGCCTGGGAACACAGAGCAAAAGACACTTTAATTAGGACTAGACTACACTGAGCAATAGCCAGGTCATTCTCACACACAGCTTCACTGTCCAGTCATACGAAAAGCACTCACCGAGGCCTTGGTTATGATGGTTCCTGACGCTGACCAGGCGAATACCTCCATTTGCCCCGGGGTGTCAAGAATAACATCCCTGGCAAGAAGTCACCCCCAACAACAAAAAGGGAAAATTAGTGAAGCACAGGGTCCTGTTCTGACTAGATTACCACCAGCATTTAATAGCAAATGACATGACTAGTCTGGTACAGATGAGAAAACCTTCTCCCAAACAGTGATGAGATTTATGGGCACGCTTGAAAATCTCCTGTGAGAAATTCGTAACTAAGAAGTATGTGCTATCTTGAGTTGAAGGCATCAATTTGACAGACACTTAGTACAGCAAACTCTTCAGAAGAATTAACTGCTGCCTCTTTGAACAGTAGGTCAGAGAAAGTGACAGTCTAATGGAAGACAAGAAAAGCAGAATTGTAATCAGCAGACTTTTCTTCCATCTCTCCCAAGAAAGTCCAGTTTATCTGTTCTAATTCTATGCCCTTTTCTACATGAAACTTAGACCAAGGCTGAAAAAACAACTAGAAGACATGGAGAGAAGCTTTTTAGATTTTCACATGATTTTCCCAAACTGATCCCAGAAAAGCAGAACTCGGTAGAATGTACTCACCTTGATGCATTTTGTCTTTTTTCCAGAAGGTTCATCACCTGATTGAAAAAGCAGAGTATACTTGGTATTTAGGCTCACAACAGGAAACCTTCATCTTCATTTCATAAAAGAAACTACATTAATTTGCACAGATGTAGGTGTGTATCCAGATGTTAAAGCCTTTAAGCTTTTCAGAGGGTCAGAATGCCCTGCTAAGGAAGGCTGAAAAACGCTCAGACCCTGCACAGGTCAAAGACAACCTTGGTTTTGTCTGTGTTCTAGTACCTGGCTGAAGAAATGGTAGAACAACCGCAGTTGTTCCCTGCCTTTTCACTAAGAGATTGCCAGGGGGTAGGCCAGCCTGGGCATTCCCGGGGCAGCAATAGCTTTCTGCGCTGGCACCTTTTGTCCGGGAGGAACCTTCGTCCGTGTTCAATTCTGGGAATCAGACTGGCAACACAAGCCAAGTCACCGGCAGAATTCTGGACGTTTGGTCTCCTCAGAGCGCCCACGGCGAGGGGAAAAAGAACATTTGCTTCACTGTCCCGAGGACGGAGACAAACAAAAAAACACCACCAGACTGAATTCACCTGCAGAAGCCCAAATTCACCGAACGCCTGCTGAATTCAGCAGGAACACGCTCCCTCGACCACAAGGCATCCTTAGGACGTCTCAGACTCCGGATTTAAGCTCCGAGAAGCCAGTGAGTGACAAAACACTCCCGCTCCCCGCGGGCGCCGCTTCCGAGCCCCCCCCGAGCGCCGGGCCCTGAGGCCTCGCAGTCGCCGCCTGGCGGACACGGCCGGGAACGGCACTGCAGCCGCGCGCCCCCCCCCTTGCAAGACCCGCGGCGCCTTTCGCAAGTCCGGGCCTTTCTTCCCTAAAACCTGCTCTTACCTAGGAAAAGCTGAGCAATTCACAGAGTTCCTGTTTCCAGCCCAGCTTCCCAAAGGATTTCTCTCCCTTGGCAGCACAGACCCTCCCCTGGAGGAGGGGGGTGTGCAATGCCAGGGCACATCCGAACCCGGCCCTGCCGCCTGCCGCTCTCTCCGCCCCTTCTGCTCGCGGCGGCACGCAGGTGCAAGTTTCTCCGCAGAGGCGAGAAACTTGCCTGTCGCTTCCCCTGCCTGCAGTCCCCGATGGCCGCAGGAGAGGCAGAAGAGCGGCCGCGACCCCGCCGGGCCCCGCTTACCCCGGGGACGATCTCCTAGAGAGCCCGACGTCGGATCTGCCGCCGTGGGTCGCTTCCGGGGGGAAAAGGCGGCGGCGCAGCCCCGACAGCATCTCCGGGGCACGGCGGGACCGAGCGGGGCGGGAGCGGGAGCGGAGCGGAACGGGACGGGCGGGCGGCGCGCCGGACCCCGCCGTCTACCTGGGGTCCTCGCGCCCGAGCCGCGCGCCGCCGTCCCGAGGCGGGCTGCCCGCGCCGGTGCCTGACGCCGCCCGCGCCCGGCGCCGCCGAGCGCGCCGCCCTGTCCCCGCACCGGGAAAGAGCGCGGCGAGACGGCGCTGCGGGCGGGGGGGGGGGGGGGGGTCCGGGTCGGGGCGGAGGTCAGGCAACAGGATAGACGCCTCTCTGAGGGAAGGGGGCCTCTTGCCGCCATCTTTAGTGTGGCCTCGGCTAAGTTCCGGTCCTGGTGGCGCCATCTTTAGTGTGGCCTCGGCGAACTTCCGGGCCGGGGCCGCCATCTTGGTGTACGGTCTTGGAGGACTTCCTGTCTGGGCGCCGCCATCTTTCTGTGCGGTCTCCAGGGAAGACTTCCGGTCCAGGAGGGCGCCATCTTGGACGGTGCGCCGTCGAAAACAGTCCGGTCGCTCTCACTTCCGGTACCCCCGGAGAAGGTTGCTCACTAATTTCTGCGCTTTCGCCTCGAAAATCTTCATGTTATTCTCCCCGCACACACCCCGGGAGAGACGGGAGACCACGAGTCCCGTCGTGCCGCGGGAACCGGCCCTTAAGTTGAGCATGGAGTGCTGCAGCGACACGAGAGCCAATGCGCGTGCGTCGCCGTTCCCTCGCATGGCCGCCCTTAATGACCACGTGATCGCCGGCGTCTTGCTAACGACTGCGCATGCGCTGGCTCCGCCACCTTGGCTGCCCCGCCATCGCCTCACCACCCGGCTTCGCTTTCTTCCGGCGCGCGCCTCACCCGCTTTTCTGGGGCCCCGCCCCCACATTTCGCGGCTCCCCCTCCGCTGCTTTTTCGGCTCCCTGGGGTTCCCCCACCCACGTTTTGGGGTGCCCTTCTCACATTTGAGGGGTGACCCGCAACTTACTGTTCGGAGGGTGGGGCGGGTGCGAGGAGTAAATGGGATGCCCAAGAAGGTTTTTTTTTTCTCTCTTTTATTTCACTTTTGATTTTATTTCCTTTTTAGTTTTCTTGCTTTATTTTTTAATTTTCTTTTGTATTTTATATTTCCTTTTTTATTTCGTTTATTTTTTATTCTCTTTATTTTTCATTTTCTTTTCTTTCTCGTTTGGTTTTTATTTTTTTAGTTCTTATTCTTCCAGAGAGGGAAATACTGCAGCTCCTCTGTGCCAGAGAAAGGCTCCCCTGCTCTTCCCTTAAACACAATGCCTGCAATTAGTGCCCTGGAAGCCTGGTCCGCTCATTCCAGGCACTGGGACTCACCCAGAGGGGCTTTGCCAGCATCAAATGGAAATTACAGCGTGGGCAAATGCACTTCCGGCAGAACTGCCAGGAACGCTCCTGGCCAAGGTGACCGGTCTGTGGAAGTCAGACCACTGACCACCCAGGGAGATTTTCAGGGGGATACTTCCAGCTTTTATTCTCCAGAAACTCCAGTTCTTTCTGGCACCGCTTGCTTCAGTCTTCCCCTGTTGGAAGAGGTCACTTAGTCTTTCGAGGGGCCAGATTGCCAAAGCCCGGCCAGTCCATTCCCTCCACACCCCCTTGCGCTCAGTGGCCGAGGGGCAGTGGTCTGCCCTGCACAGGCCCGGGGCAGGCCTTCAGGCCATCTGTCTCAAGGCTGGAGTGATCCTGCCATCATCCCGTGGCCACGAGTGGCACAGAAAGCCCAGGGCCAACAGCAACTCCAGTCAGCTGCAGGCAGATGTTATCCCTTCCCAGCTTTTTGGGAGTGAGGGGTAAGGTGCCTTTCCCATCCGGCAGCGGCACGTCCCCGCCGCAGAGCCCGCCCCGATCCTGGGCCTTCTCCGAGACAATTCCCCTGTCACAGCCCACTTCCTGCAGAAAAATGTTCAGGCTGAATGCGTTTTTTGTTGTATTTTTATATTTTTATTTTATCGTTACATTTCGTTATTATTCTCTTGAAAGCCCGTAGAAGGCGGCCACCCGCCCTCCCCCGCCGCCGGTCGGTTGCCGGCACTGCCCGGCCCGGCGGCCCCGAGCGCTCGCTCTCCGCAGGCGCCGCTTCCAAGCCCGCCCCCGACCGCCGGGCCCTGCCTCGCAGTCGCCGCCTGGCGGACACGGCCGGGAGCGGCACTGCAGCCGCGCGCCCCCTCCCTCACCCCCAAGGACCTCAAGGACTCGCGGAGCACAGATTGGCAAAAATAAACGTCCCGCAAGACCGACGTTGCCTTTCAGAAGTATTTCCTTCATTTTTAAGAACGATAAAGGGCCAAATCAACAATAAACGTTATTTCATCCCTTTGCCAATAATAACCCTGCAGCTTGCCTTCCTTTCTGGACTGACAGCAGACAGCTTGGATGCCCAGACGGAATCATTAGACAACTCTCTCCAACGTTTCTTAAAACCTCCTTAATCTTCCCCGTGATAAAACCCACCCTTTTCATTGGATCGAGAAAAACAAAACCAAACCAAAGAAACCCCACCACCTGACACGGGTCACAAGTTACAAAAGAGACTCCAAGCCATGGGAGGAAAGCTAATGAACAGGTGAAGTTTCAAGGAAATCCCACGTCTTCCAACATCCTGCTCGTGTTGCCTATGTTGCCCCCTGGATATGACCCACTCCCAGGCATCTGCCCAGCAGCAGACACCACCGCTGCCCTCTCAAACAGCAGCACTTCAGCCACGAGCCACCATTGTTCCAAGAACCACAGCTGTAGATTTCTGTGCCCATCAATGGCAGATGTGGCAACTAAGCCGTGTCCTCTGTCTGCTACCTGTCACACAGGACCCTCTTCTCTAAAAACAGTGGCTCAGCGGGCAGCACTGCCATTTGTCAGACACATACTTACTCCCAGCAGTCAGGTCACACTTCAGCACTTCACCAAGTCTGCGGGAGGACTTGCAGGTCCTGAAGGCTCACGCCACAGTGTGGCACTCACTTGCTGTCTATGGAAACCATTCTGCTACTACAAAATGTTTTCTCCTAGGAAACACACCCATTGCAACAGTTACACATCTGACCAAAAGGCAGCAAGTGGCCTCCAATCCCACCAATTGTCTTCTTGCTGTCACCACATCCTTAGCCTTAGAAGGCAGGGGGAAGTCTACAGCTGTTGGAGCAGTTCCTGGGAACACCAAAAAACACCCTTTCTTTCGAGTGCCCAAGGGCAAGTGCTGAGGGCACCACACAGCTCCTGCCCAAACATCCTGTCCTGTCCCCATCCATGCCAGGAGCCCGCAGCCTTGGAAAACACACGTGCCCGGGCCGCAGCTCCCAAGGGATGATGCAGCTATTCAAGCGTAAGCGCGCGGGCAGGGAGCACTTACCCGGGGGGGCCGCCGGCCCCTCCAACTCACCCCCCTGCAGCAGCGCAGCCCCTGAGCCGCAGATGCCCAGCTCTCCCCGCTGCCGTCCCACGGCTGCGCTCCACCACAAGGAACGGACGGGCAGGATCCGGCAGTGCCGGGACACTGGGCACGTGCACCCGGGCACCGGCAGCAGCGGGTGCCGGTTCTCCCTGGCAGGCCCCAGGGTGGGGGATGAGGGATTCCCTCCACCTGGCACAGCCAAGAAATCCGTCCGCTTTGTCAATAAAATTGAGACCAAAGTGTAAAACTCTACTTAAAGAGTAAAATAAAAAATAAAGATTCTTATGGTTATCCTTCTGCAGACTATCACTGCTGTGGCCACAGGCAGAGCAGCTCCAGCACAGACACAAACACACACAGACACACACTGCACACAAGCAAGACAAAAGATGTGACCCAGAGACATAAAAAAAGCTCTTTAAGAACCGTGACTACTAGACCAGAGACACCATCATGGGAGAATACCTAGGGGGCTGTAAGGAAAATCTATGGCAGACCAAGAAAAGTCAAATGTCACGGCCCATGACAAAAAGATATGGCTGCAACCAGGATGAAGTATGTGCTAGAAGCCTTTCTTAAAGGCCTTAAGAATATAGGATGCGGGGAAAGAGTCCCAGAAAAGGAATCCATGAAAACAGACCACTCAAGATCAGAGATGCTGACACAGCCTGGAAAGAAGCCGCAAAAGCTGTCCCACTAGATTGTTCCACAACACAAGACCTAGCCACGTATTAAGCTTGTGGCACAAGAAATGAAGTACCTGTTTGGTGCTCTGTCAATGAGTATAGGCATTTGAGACCCTAGAGGTGGCACCTGAGGCAGATGATGTGTTCCTTGAACGCAAAGTGCCACAAGGTTATCAAAACCTGAGGAAGGCCTAAGATGCCAAAGACACACTACACAAAGTACACAATAACTCAGACACAGACTGGAGCCACCCTGTCCAGAACACACTAGCACTGTGCTGGGAGTAACCCGTTTCCTTACCTGACCAAACAGGCCGATTCCTGAACTCTCTACACCAACTTCAGCACTTCTCCCTGCAATTCCCAACCTTGCATCCTGCTCTCAATTCCTCTCCCCAACACCAGTCCCTCGAGTTAGCTTTCAGAGGGCTGGGAGTCTGAGTTCATTCCCCAAAAAACCGACATCTGCTGACCAGGATATTCCTGCAGTTTCCAGGCTCCTCTTCGTTATCTGTGCAAAACCAATGGCAGCAGTAAGCATCACGTTGGTCAGCACCAGACCTCTTCCACAACCACCTCCTCCTCCAAAGCAGGTGGCCTGTCACTCACCTGCTCCACACCGATTTCAGCGTCAGACACTGACATGGTGGCCATCAGGAGCCGCTCTTTTGAGCCATATCCTGCATTTTTCAGGGACCTCTGATCTTCCATCTTCACACAGGCTCTCAGCTCTGCAACAGGCCTACAAAATAAGTCAAGTCCTGACGCTTATAATCTACAAGGGGCCCGTCACAAGCCACAAAGGCTCTAGAGACAACCTGGTATTCTGCAGGCAATTGGTAAAGGTGGCAAGTTATCCCATACCCGAGAAGCACTGTGCCTTATGCCCCTGCTGCCTTCTTGAGAAATGCTAAAGCTCCATGTCCAGATGCAGACAAGATGCTCACCCCAACTTCTGCTGATAATCTCACCACTGGTCCTATTAAGAGACATGACATCAGCAACTGATACTGTATACAGCAAAACTGGTGAAAAAACCCAAGGTTTCATCTTCAATAAAGTCAGAAACTTCAGGAAAATGCAATGCAGCTAGAATAAACAAAAACCCCCAAACGTACTATTCAACTATGTTGCCACCCTGAACACTCAGAAAAAACTTACTGACCTGAAAATCTGAAAGCTGCATACAAGTGTACTTTCTACTATCCAGGCTGCTGAACCTCAACCAGTCCTGCAGCCCTTGCCTGAGACAGACACCTGCCCCACTTCTCTAAATGGCAGCACACACCTGCCCAGAATGCTAAGGCAGCTCTGGAAGAGAAGGAACAGCAGTGCACTGGCCCCAGAGCAGCACAGGAGCAGCATGAGCTCCCCGAGGAGAGGCTGTTCCTCATATACTGCAAGCCCTTCCCTCAGCAGCTGTACCTGTAACTGCCCAAGCCCATTCCTAACTGCAGCCCTTTTAAACCCTTGGCCCAGTCCCATCATCATGTCATCCGTCCCACCTAGGCTGTCCCAGCCCACAGCTGGAGCCCACCGGGAACAGGGGGCCACCACCTCAGCCCCACAGCCCATCTTCCCCGCCCCAGACCCATACACTGGACACAGAACAGACAGGAAAGAAAGAAAAAACAGGGATAGGACACAGAAGAAAACTTGAAAATGTGAAGAGGGGCAGGACAGTCAGCAGAGAACTAGAACCAGGGGCAGTACAGCACTGGCATACGGAGAAATATTCTAAAGCCAAGAGAGCAACAGAGGCAGCAAACAAGATAAAAGAAGACACAGAAACCAGGTCAAATGTCAAGCTCAAAAGATTAAAGTTCAAATGTGGGGATTGGAAGGTCAACAGTCACACCTGGAAGGTCATTATCCAGAGATCAAAAGTCACAAAAACATCAGAGGTCACAGGAAAAGGTAGTTCAGATGTCAAAGGTCATTTGAAAGGTCAAAGGTAATTTGAAAGGTCAGAGGTCACCAAATAGGTTGATGTCACAAAGGGGTCAAAGGTCACTGGAAATGTCGAAAGTGGCCCAAAACAGCCAAATGCCACCCGTGGTCAAAGGTCAGCAGGAAGGTGAAGGTCACGCACGCGTTTGGCTCCCCTGACGGCAGCACCGAGTCCGATGGGGGGGGGTGAATCCGTGCCACCCCTCCTGCAGCACCACGCTGTGGTCGCCGGGCGGCAGCAGAGAACGCACCCCGCGGCCCGGGGATGGGGAGCGCAAACACCCTGCGGTCTGAGGCAAACAGAGAGCCCTGGGCGACATGGAAAGAAAAACACAGGTCTCTGAAGCACACCACAAACCAGTGAGGATGCGACAGAGTACCCTCAGCAAGTCTGCAATGTCACAAAACTGGCTGGAGTGGCTGATAAGCCAAAGTATCATGCTGCTGTCCAGAGAGACCTTAACAAGCCAGAAAAACGGGCTGACATGAACTTCCCGAAGTTCATCAAGAGGTATAACTGTCAGTCTGCTTTTTCCTTCAAGGACAGGACTCAGCTTTGTTATTCAAGGAAAAAGCCTAAATTCACCTGTCTGTGCTTCTGCCCTACACCTAGAGTACAGCCCTGCAAGAAGCTTGACAGCTCTCAACTCATCCACCAGCAGTGGCAGTGTGTCATGCCTGCACAGGGTCAAACCAAGATCTCAGATCTGAAAGCACAGCAGCAGGTTCTCAAGTGAACACTCTCATTTGACAGTAAAAGGGTGAATAGAATTATTTTCTTACAAGAAAATCCCACAAGAGCTACAAAGACCAAGATGTCAACAGAACACAGAAGCTGCACTGTGGGGCTGTACCTCAGTTAGGGATCTCTCCAATTCTGCAGAATACCGTTCCTAGCATCTGAAGGTATGTAAGATTACACTATGCTCTTTTTCCTGCTGATGTTAGATTCAATAAATGGAATTTTTATCAATAATTTACAGAGTCTTAGTGCCTTTCTTAGTGGAATCACAGAGCCTACTGTTTAAGCTTCAGGGCTTACAGTTTATTATCCAAGGACTTCAACTTTTCCATTTTGCACAGTAAGCCCTAATATGATAAACTACAAATCTCAGCACCCTTGTCATTGGGTCATTGGGGATTTAGATTTTATGGATGAGATTACATTTTTACATCTGGTGCCCCAATCTATAAATAAGTAAAGCGTAAATCATAATAAATACAGAGCCTCACAAAATAAAGTAATAAACCATAACTCCTAAGTAAGAAACCACTGCAAACCACAAACTCTAAACAATAAACTGTAAGTGAAGAACTCAAAACACTCAGTTTTGAGCAAGAAATGCAAAAGAATACGAGAGCAAGAAAATAGTAAAGAGAGAAGTAAAAAGAAGATGAGAATTTTTGCCTGTAGCTTTACAAGTTTTCATTTACAAGTTTTCAAGGGCAGCAGGATGGAACACACACCAGAAACACTCTGCAATTGCTGTTTACAGGCTTGATTTCAGCCACCATTCATGTGACCATATGTGAGACTCAATTTGTAGACTGATCCACTGTACTAAGCTGCACTTCCATTAAACTTACCTGCGACACAGCCAGCACTAAATCTGCAGTACTATTACTAAGACAATTAATATTTATGGTCGTCTCATCTCTGTGGGCAAATATTCAGAGCCAGTGACATCTGTAACCACCAACGAGCTTCTCTTTAAGGGAAGTGGTACCTGTTGAGAGAGAGAAATGTTTGTGACAATTGGTAATACCATTCCTGCAGTCACTAACACCACCCCAAAAGCCTTCTCCTGTGTCCAGCTAATCCCACTCTAAAGAGGGATCAGAAAACGTCTCACAGAGTTGCCAAAACAAGGATAAAACACTGCAGCTGGGAAAATACTTTTTATTATATAAAACAAATTGGGTTTTTTAGCCTATTACTCACATGCTGAGCATCTGTAGTCCAAGACACCTAACCACTTGGCACATCAAGCCAATTCCCATTGCGAGGCCTGCACATCACACACCAAATGCCCAAACTTTAGTCTCCCAGGCACAACTTCCAGCTCCCTTCACCGAGCAGTACCCACATTGCCACCAAGTCTGTCTCATTACTAACTAGGGCACAACCACCTTCCACCCACCCAGCCTCCTTCAACTACAGTGCAGTGCCAGGACTTAGCTGTGTGCACGCTGTGAGTCAGAGCTTGTTCTTTGCATCTGGCTGCTGATCCTACAGACCTGTGATGCTGCTTCAATTGCCAAACTATGCTTCAGCACCTGCAAAAGGCCAGAACAGTTGTTACCAAGAGAGCAAGAAACTGCAAAGCCCTTTCAGAACTATCCCAAATCCAAGGCCCATAATTGCTCCCACAATTACAACTGACCCACTGTGCTGCTTCAGCCATGATCTCAGGCTCTGTTTCATCACTAAGATGCCACAGCAGTCCTCACAGATAGTAGGCTTGCTCAGGCATCCAGTTAATGTCAGCTTATGTCAGATGGCACTCCTCATGGTGACTGCAGCACAGACACTGCAATGCTGGAAGTCTGTCTTACTCAGCATAAAACTATACACAGGTCAAACAGAAAGGAGAAATATACAGTCCCCACTGACTTAAACATCCTCTCATTCAACACAGACAGAAGGAAAGCAAAGATTTCAGACTCCAAAGTGACCACCCAACACTGTGCTTGACAGCACTATACATTTCATCAGAAATACTCTTCTCATCCACGCAGACATCATGGAAGCCAGATAGTCCTGTGCCACCTCTCCAGCTCACCATCTTCTATATGCAACCTACACTTCCTCACTTAGCACAGCCCTAGCCCTTCTTCCATGGAAAACACAGGCACACAACACTGACACCACCCAATGTTTTAGGTCATCTTCAAACTGCTCAGAAAGCAGCATTCAGCAAAGACAGGGGAAAAAACCCATGGCTTTTAAAAATTCTAAACACTGGAGAGACTCAGCTAGCGGGAAACTCTTACCACCCACCCCAGGCCTGAGTGTGGCTGGGCTGAGACCCTCAATTTGCTGCAAGTGTTGCCCCTAGCAACACTTGTTGTCCCTAGACAGGACGTGTCCCCAAACCCGCGGCCACTGAAGGTTCTCAAACACACCACAGAGGATCCCTCGAGGCCCGAACGCCACCAGTGCATGCTGGTCGCAAGCAGCTCGCCTGCACTGGCTGCTGCGTTGCCGGTGGGGGTAACAGTTACCACACCGCTCCTGTTCTCTGCCCCTCGCACCCGGCACTCACAGGCTGGTCCTGCACCAGGCTTACCCTCTGCAGCGTGCCCTCCCGGTGCTCCAAACGCGCTCAGCACCCCCGAACTGCCCTCCCGGTGCTCCAAACGCGCTCACCACCGGCCTGGCACCTGTGCTGAGCGGCCGCGGGGCGACGGCAGCACTGCGCATGCGCGAGGTCCGGGGGCGGCCGCGCGTCGCAGCGTCTGAAGGCGAGCGGGAGCGATTGATGGCGAAGGGACAATCAGCGGGATAGAGCCGCTGGGACAGGGAGTGAAAAGCGGCGTGCAAGCTGGACAGACGGCTAGAGTTGGTGGGAAGGATGGTCAGGCAGAGAAATAGAAAAAGAGAGCCAGGGTTCTGGACAAAGAATGGTGAAAGAACTTCCGCTGTTGCAGAATACATATCGAGTCCAACCAAGTGAGCCGTAAGCACCAAAATCTAGTGCTCAAGGCTAGCAGGCACTCACCAGCGCCTCTCAGCTCCTCTGCCTTAGTATCCATTGTGACAGTACTTAGTGATCAGTTGCTTGCTGACTGACACAGTAAAAGACATCATCCTATCAAAACATAAAGCAATGCAAAATTTGTAAACCCTACAGAAAAACTCAAGAAAACAAATTTAGCATACAAACCTACGCACTAATCTAATACACACTAACACGGTAAAGGAGAACACAAAAGCCACAAACACCGCCCCTCCACTCCTATTTTGAACACTACCACAACATTTGGGTTTTCTGCAAGGTTAACCTTTCAGGAACTTCCGGTGTCTACATTTTTGGCATAACCATGCCACACTCCTCTTTTAATTCAGGCATGCACAAGCATATCCACTTCTTCAAACCTGCCTGCTTCCCTCCTGCTCATTGCCTCAGATCAGACCACGTTGCTGAATGCTGGGTGGCACCAGGGGAAACAAATTAACTCCCCCAAATGATTCACAGCCTATTGTTTAGGGTTCGGGGCTTACAAATTTATCATCAAAGGATTTGGACCTTTTCATTTAACAGTAAGCTGTAAACCCTGAACTTTCAGTGTTAAACTACATATCTTGGAACACAAATGATTCTTGGTACTTTACAACTAATGGATGAGGTTAGATTTTAAAACCCATGCCCTAAGCAGTCAGTAAGTGAAGTATAAACCCTGACTAACAGATATGGAGTCCCACAGTCATAAACCATAACCCTGGAGTGAGAAACTGTAAACAACTCTAAACAGTTGAAAGAACATGAGTGATTGAACTCTCAGTTTAAAGCAATGCATGCCACAGCACATAAAAGCAGGAAAATGGTAAAAGAAACTGAGGAATTTTTGTCTGGAGCTTTTAAAGTTTCCGTTTCCTTTGCAAGTGTAGCAGAACAGGAGCATACATACCAGGAATGTGTTGCAGATGCTGTATAGGTCTGATTTTAGCCACGATAAGCAAGAGTCAATCCAGAGGGTTGCTGTAAGGTGCACTTCTACTGAATCTACCAGTATCACTAACTCATCTCCATTACAGACAATTAAGAGTATTTTTGGTCTCTTCAGCTCCATGGTCCAATATCCACAGCAGTGCCACTGAAAACCACCAGGCAATTTTAAACTCTCTTGTCACTTACCAGCACTCACAGGCAGGGACCACTCAGCCACCAGACTCCCACGCTGACATCCTGCCCCAGGGCCTGCCTTCCACCACACACCTCCTGGCTGTCCATGTCCACAGGGCCAACTGCACAGACTGGCTGAGGCTGGGAGGAACCAGGGCCCTAAATTCAGGACAAGGGACGGGAAAGTCAGACCTGTGCTCTCAGCTTCCTGCAGTGAGTGGGCTGGGCCAAGACCCCCCCAGCCTGCATCTCCACTTCCAGGCAGCCACCGTGGGCAGGAATGACTGCTGAAGGCCTTGCTCCCCTGACTGATGTCCCTAACCCTCACCTGCTCCTTCTACAGGGAAAGAGGCCCTGCCTTTTGCCATGCCACTCTCAGGCACTGCACATGCACTGGCCACTGTCACAACCCATCAGTAGGGGCTGTGATGGTTGTTACAAATTCTCATCAGGTTGAACAAAGACACCAGATACATGTCAGGGAACTCTTATGCTTTTATTGTACAGCCACCATAACGCCACCAACCAGCCCACTGCTTAGACTCAAAAGGTGTTGGCTAACAAGCCTTTAAATTTATACAGTACACTTCAATAAGTTCTCAACTCCCACAACAAACTCTTTAAAGGTGCTGGCTCGCAAGCCATTTCACAAAATCAAAGGTGCTGGCACACAAACCACAACACCACTACGCAAAGCTGCTGGCTAGCAAGCCACGACACACTTCTACAAGCTCCTCACTTCCACAACAGAGTTCAGTACAGAGTACAGAGCAGAGTATGATAGCCATGCTTCGCTCAGGCAAAGCAAGGGAAGAAAACAAAGAATATTACCAGTCCTCAGATCTTGTGTTGGTTCTGCCACGAGGATGATCCGGAGCTGGGGTTGTGAGACAAAGACAGTGAAAGAAAAAGAGAGGGGGAAAAAAAGAGAGAAAAGGACTGAGGGGGCCCAATCTGCTCCCTGTTATAACCTGGTGCACACCTCTTATGTAAAACTAGATTTTTCATGCCGTTTTGTTTGCACATGCACAGCCCCTTTGAGCCTCCTCCAGGCAGTGAGTTGGAGTGAGGGAACTGAGCACAAGTCCCATGGTGGAGCAGGGGGTTGGCTCAGAACACACTGCCCCACCTCCACAGGACCCTCTCCTCCAATTACCTTCCCTGTAGCAATACTCAAAATGTTTGAGACAAAACATGCTTAGGTCTGGTCCTCGGCAGCCACAAATCAAGGAGGATACCATGCTCCTGGGCATCATGAGGTAAACTGGGACTGCAGACCATTTTTGTTTTCTCTCTCATACAAGATTTCTTGAGGATTAAGGCAGCCTCCTCTGTCTTCTACTTGTCAGTTTGAATACAGCACATGCAACTTAACTGCATAAACCATGAAGAGAATTTTGAGAAATATGCTACTTTGAATTGAGTTGCATTTTTCCCCATGTCTTAATGGCAGGCACAGAAAGTCAAGAACTGACAATACACAACACCATGTGGCTTTAGCACAGTTCCTCTTCTGTGCAATATTTTAACCAAATCTAACATCCTTAAGTTGTATCAGATACTTTAACCAAATCTTGCACTATAAACAAATTACAGTGGTCAGAAAAGCAAGAACAACTGAATGCTCTTTAAGGCAAAGTGCAAATCTTTTTTTTCTGACAAAAACATCACACAGCAACATAGAAAGAAGGATTCTAAAGATAATTCATCTTCATTAACAGTACTTTCCCCATCCATTCTTAAACACAGCTGCACTCAAATCTTTGCTCATGAAATGAGATTTATGAGGAGAGACTGACTGTACAGGCCAAGCATCAAAATCATACAGGGGCTTCAATACAAATGAAGCTTTGTCAACCCATATCATTTGAACCCAGCTAATGAAATCTATCAACTTTATACACCAAATCCAGTACATATGGATTAAAATTGAGGCAAAGAGTCAAATTCTAAATCTCTAAAAGCACATGTTTCAATTCCTACAAGGAGCAATGGCTGGGGAAGTTCTGGAGTGGTTAAATGTGCTGTCCAGATTTGCATCTTCACCTCCACACTGATGGACAGAAATTACCCTTCCCTATGGGATACATTTTATACTGTGTGGGTAACTACAGGGTGGCTTGACAGCACTGCTTTCGTGAATTCTTACTGTTCTGCAGGCAGCACTGTTATTGATAGAGGACAGGCTCTTCACCAAAATGAAAAAGATTCAGTCCTCAGTAAAAGCACAATTTAAAAAATTACTATGCATGTCAGTTTTCAGACCCATAGCTTGGCTGAGAAAATGAACACTTAGGAAAATGTAAGCAGAATTTAAGCAGAATTTTCAGATTTTTAAAAATTTATTTAGAGACAGATAAGAGGCATACTTGTTTCTTGCTATTCAGCCATTAGCATAAGAAGGGTAATGCTACCTAAGTATTGAGGTTTTTTAGCACCGTACTAAATGCTGCATATAGACTCACCAAGAATTGTTTCAGCTAATTCCATTCCTTCACTGGAAAGTGAACAGAGAAGTAGCTCTGTTAAGGAAAGATGGAGCAGAAAAAATCTAATTGAAGCAAAGTGGGATGTAAAGTATCATGAAGCATTAGTAGCTGTATGCCAGCACAAGGGAAACTGCTGACTGGGTCTCACTCTTACATATCTCAATCCACTGGTTTCCTAGCAAGGTCTTGCTATAAAGAGGCTTGGCATATCCCCCGCTTATTTTCCATAGGTCTTTCAGGGCAATGGTTTCAAGAGATACTGCCAAATATCCCTGCCTAAGAAAGCACTCCAACACGTCTTCAGACTTCTCTCTCCTATAATTCTTTAGCTTCCTTATTGTCTTAGTCTCAGCACTGAAGCCTTTTAAAAATTCATCTCACTTAGCATCCCAGCCGAAGTCACAGAAGCACAGAATCACTTAGGCTGGAAAAGACTTTAAGTCCCTGATTTTGTCTCTCTGCTCTTCACTACAGCATTGTCATCTCCTCGCCAAGAACATGGAAGAAACATTATTTTTATTCTTACAGGTTTCTTCCTTTTTCAATTCTGAAAACTCCTTAGAGCTGAAATTCTTTTCAGCCTTCCTTGTCTCTCACTTATTCTCATTTACGCTATGCCCTCTCCCATTTTTCTCTCAACCTTTTCTTTCTTTTGCAATCTTTTCCTTTACAGCTTTTCCTGCACTCACCCTCACTATATGGATGCAGAGAAATTTTTTTTACTCCACTGCAAGCCCAGCAACTGAGTCTCAGTCCCACTCAGTTCAGCTGAGCTCCATCATTAGTTGGCCTGCCTGCTCTCTTCCATTCCATAATAAAAGAATTCAGAGAGCTAGGCCACAGCCTACAGAAACTATTATCTGCTGTGCTTGTTCTCTGTCTTTTCTGAAAAGGAACACTGAGAAATCTAAATAGACAGTTTCAGTTGGTACTGTGAGAGCAAAAGGT